CCTTCTCAGTGACTTTCCCTAGGGGTAAAATATACTTTAGTACCATGAAATACTTTTTTTTGTTTCAATCCCATTTTGATTTTTTCTACACATTCCTCTGCAGGCAACTGTTGTGTGACGCTATTCCCACAGAGATGTAAGCAACTGTCTACTCACCCTTAATAGGGAACTGAATATAGATGAAAGTAAAAATGCCACCAAAGTTCATTTGGTGAGCCAATGAATTTTATTGGGGGTACTTACTGGAATGTGGGTCAGGAGTTACTTACCAGAGCAGAAATGACTCAAAGACAGCTGCACCACCAAAATCTACCCTGGCATGACAGTGGCTCATGGGAGCTGAAAATCTGGAGCATACTGTACAACTTAGAGGGTGTTTAACCTGTTGGAGAGTACCCTTCTGGGTGCCCCAATTTGTCTAAGCTTCTTTTCGGCAGTTCATCTTGTCTGAGATTGTCTCGCAGCCCTCTTTCTTGTCTATCTATTCTTAAGGAGGGAGACCTAGTGTCTCTGGTAAGTATCTGGGACTTCCTGGAATATTTGAGTTGTGCATTTCCTGAACTTAAGGAACTTCCCTGAAGGATGAAATGTCTCCCCTCCCTTTAGAACATCACATGTCTTAGCAAGCTTCTAAGATGGAAGGTTCTGTCCCAACAATGTTGATAGTAAGATCACTACCCAGATAAGTTCCATGTACTTCAAACCTTGTGTTGACTGTGGACCTCTGACAAAACTCAAAGAAAAACACACTTAGCAATTTGGTCTCTGTGTACCACTCTGCATCACCTCTAAAACTCTCTTACCGCGCATGGTCCCTTAGTCCCATTTCTCACTCGAGGGTCTGGGGAGCTGAATGCTTGCTACTTTTTGCACAGCCACACCCTATTTCACTCTTTTAAGTTTTATTCACACTGCTATCTCTGCCTGTATCATTTATCACTGCCCACTGGGTTGGCTTCTCCTAGTTAGAACACTCTCACATACACAAACATGTTGTATATCAGTGAGCTAGGTGCTAATCTCTAAAGTTAGATGGTAAAGCCTAGATGATTCCCATGAATCCATTTTAACCCTGTATTATGAGGGCTGTCCATACATTTCTGCTGCTATAAATTTAAGTAGCTTCCATCGCTGGGGTATTTGAATATCAACTTAGACCTCTGCCTTAAACAAACTTAAAATATGACAAGAAAAGGTGTGGCTTATAATGTATTAATCTCAAGACTGTTAGGATTTGGTTTGGGGGGGCTATTTGATGTTTTTAAAAAGAATCAGTATAACTCTGAGCCTCAGTTTCTCTAATCTGCAAGACTGGGTCTTGTGATTCCTGTAATCACAGTGTTTTGTTAGAATTAAAAGAAAACACTGAGCCTTTTCCTCATGTTAAAGAAATACATGCCTCCTCCACGCTTGCTTTTCTTGTTACCACTTAAAGCATATTCCAAGAACCATGGGATTTGTGCTGATTTTAATTTTTCAAATTTGTCTTCACTCTGGACCCATTCAATACCTTGGGCTTGCAGTCAAAATTTGTCTACTTTCAGACAGACGGAAACAAGCTTCATGACTTGCAGAACATCTGTCTTGGTGATATGAAAGTGATGTAAGTTTTCTCCATGTAAACCCCAGGGACCTGAGATGAGCCTCCTCTCCTACCTCTGCCTCCCTTTCTGCTGCAGTGTCCTTCCTAATGCAAGAGTCAGAGATGCGGGTGGAGAGACTTAGAATGTAGAGAATCAGGCAAGCAGCATTAATTTCCCAAGTACCTGCTGTACTTGCTAGACGTTTCACTAATGCTCATTGTTGTCCTAGGGCATCCCAGTTTGGATGGGAGAGCTGAAAAGAGCTAAGAGGGAGAGTATTCTTCAGGATAACACAATGTGTTTACAGCTGTGATCCGGATCCCCTCTGAGACCTTCCCCAAAGCTTTCGCCCTATTGAGACCTCATCATGATACTCCTTTTGTGAGATCATTAACTCCATTTCTTTAGGTATTTATTTTGTTTTGGTTTTGTTTTGAAACAAGATCTTATATGTTGTTTCTAATTTAAATAAAAACAACTTATATGTTCCAACCTGGCCTGAAATTCACTATATATCTGAGAATAGCACTGAACTTCTAATCCTCCTGCCTCTACCTCCCTCATACTTGAAAACTAGGCATGTACCATCGTGCACTGTTTTATGCAATGCGGAGAACAAACCCAGGGCTTTCCATGTGGGAGTTGGCACTCTCTGTTATGAGTCATACACCCAGAAGGATAGTTCTTGATTTTCCAAATCTTGATCACCTAATCTCACTTTCTCTATTTTTCTGAATTGTAGAATGTTCAAGACTCCAAAGATAACTTTATCTGATCACATCGTTTAACAAGCAGGAAAAGTTTTTCAAAAGTCCTGTGTCATTTTCACATAAGTAGCCGTCATGGCTTTTCCTGGACTACCCAGTGTTTTATCAGGTATACCTATGTATCCACTCTTAATTCCTCTAATGACTGCTTTTCCCCTGCTGCTGATGGGGGCTTCCTCCCCGTTCACAACTGTTGTCTTCTCTACTTGTACCACCATTACCCTTTCAAACACTGAATACCCTATTCCTTTGGAGTTCCTTGAGAGCACGTGTGCTTTATTTTTAAAGTATTTCATAGGATGAGGGATGCGCCTGCTGATCTCATTGCTGTATTACGGCACCTGGGAGATCTCATTACCAGTGCCTTCTGTCTTTGCAAAGACAAGGGGGCTTGCTCAAAGTAACAGGGCAGATTGTCCCTGAATTTTGTTCCCTCCACAGCAACACTGAATTTCAACTTAAACCTTCTTCTTGTGGTGTTTAAAGCCTTTACTCAGAGGATGGAGGATTCCTCTGTAGAACCTCAGAAAAGCTGTGCATTTCTCCATAGTTATTATTGCTGTCACTCAGTACATTAGTCATGGAACTTTTATTTTCATAGTGAACTGAATATAACTACAAAGCAGAAAACATGCTGCAGGCATCTTATCATTAAAAACTAGTTATGGAGCCAGACATGGTAGCACACACCTTTAAATCCAGCAGAGGCAGTAACATCTCTGAGTTCCAGACCAACCTGTCCTATAGAGCAGGACAGCTAGGGCTACACAGAGAAATCCTGTCTCAAAAACAAACAAACAAACAAACAAAACCTAGTTATGGGGTAGGGAAGTATTTAGCAATGTTTTTTGTTGCTTGGTTAGAGGCTTCCCTCCTGGTTCTCAGTATATTGTGTTTTAATGTTTTCAAAAATACATTATGGGTAGTCCTGACATCCGTTATCTTGATCTTATACTCTGTCCCCCAAAACAGTCCTTTTGTACAAAACTCAAGAACTTCAGCATCAGCACACAGACATGTACTTTGAAATGCCTCCTGGTCCTACTGCCAGCCAACAGCTCAGTTGAAAGTGTCACTTTCATAGAGATACCTATACGAGTATCATATGTGTAAGGTACATGGCTCTTACTCATTCAGACCAGTAGTGGTAGTACATGCCTTTAATCCCAGCACTTGAAAACCAGAGGCAGGGGGTGTCAGTGAGTGTGAGGTCAGCCTGATATACAGATAGAATTCCAGGACAGGCTACAAAGCTACACACAGAAAACCTGTATCACATAATAATAATAATAATAATAATAATAATAATAATAATAATAAATAAGGAAATAAACAACACAAACGAATAAGTTCAACAGTAAAACTGGTATGTTAATTAATGCTTGTCATAAGAACCTTTGGTCTCAACATGAAAAGAGCCAATGTTACTTGTGTTTTTTTTGAGGGGCCGGGTAGTGATGGCACACACCTTTAATCCCAGCACTCCAGAGGCAGAGGCAAGGGGATCTCCTTCAGTTCGAGGCCAGCCTGGTACACCCAGTGAGCTTCAGGACAGCAAGGGCCACACAGAGAAACCCTGACTCAAAAAACAAAACAAACCCAAAAGAACCTTATGAGGTTGATATTTTATTTTCATTACACAGATAGTAAGACACAGCTTTTAAACAATATAATAACTTCCTAAGACTGCCTAGCTACTGGCTAACTGGTAACTGAGGAAGAGTAAAACGGCCACATAGATAGAAAGCAGCGATATTCCATCTCAGCTATCAGATCCCATGATGGACTAGACGACTAAGGATTCATTCTTTTCTTACTTAATTTGTTGCTTTAACGTAACATCGCTTTGAAATTTTATACACACACATTGTATTGTGATCAAATTCAGCCCTCATCCTCTAGTCCCCCGTCTGCCTCTGAGGACACCCTTTTTCTAAGCTAGTCCTCTCACTTTGTTATTTCTGACCCACACTTACCTAATTAGGTTTGCTTGTACGAGCTTGAGAAGAGGGTTATTTACTGGAACATGGAAACCTTGCCAATGACTAAAGGAAATAACACTCTCTTCACCTGCAACCAAGACCTGTCTGTGGCTCCTTAAGGAGAGAAGCATCACAGTGAGCCCCGCACTCACCCCACCATCCTTGACCCTGGATGGAATGTTGAAGGATCCAGTTTCTCACAGGTTTGTGTAACACCAGCATCTGTAGTGAGCTCAAGATTGCAATGACCAGGTTACACCCAGAAGACATGATGTGATTCTTTTTTTTTTCCCATTTTGGTGGGGACTGTTTTTTAAATAAAAAATATTCTTAGGGTGTATTGTTGAAGATAGAGTCCAAAAAGCAATGCAAAATGACAAGAGATATAAACTTTAGTTATACAGAGTGGAAATTTCTTACAATGTATAAATAATGTTTGCCAGGTTTTGAATGTACAAAATATAAATATTTTTCAGGACTCATGTAGAAGATTTGTATATATCAAATTCAATTTCATGGTTTTTATTGGTTTTTTTACTTATAAACTCACATATTCTCTATCATGTTACAGTGTATGTGTATGTATGTGTGTGTGCAAGCATATACACACACACACACACAGCCATTCTGTAAGAATCTACAAAAGACAAAAACCACACAACAACGTGTTGAAGCAGACAAGCTATTATATATTTTCATAATATAGAACTTTAAGGTACAGTAATCAACAGTGGCAAAATATTTGTCTTTGACATTATTTTTGTGTATGTGTGTCAGATCCAACCTTAACTGAGACCAGAGAGAACAGTATGGAAACACAAATCCACAAGAAGAAGATAAAAATACCATGAACAGCAAAATATGTCTGAGTATTTAAAACTGTATAGAAAAAATAAATTAGATGAACCATCGTGTAAATATAAATTAAAAAGATGACATTCTTAATAAATAAAGTTAACTATTTACATTTTATATATCGCTGAAAGACTTAACTTAGATCCATAAAAACACATAAACAGGAAAAACAAAACCCAAGACAAGAGCAGCACATTTCTGCGCATGAGGTACAGGATGAAGGTTAGAGTTCTATTGAGTTTTTGGTGTTTACTTTGCTTTTATCTTTCTTTTCACTCTCTCTTTCTTTCTTCCTTTTTTTCATTTTTTGTTTCTTTGTGGTTGTTTTTTTCTTTTTACAGTAGACCAATAGAATTCATGAGAACAGACTCTAAGCACTTCAATGAAGAGTCATATGTTTTAGTTGCTTCCAGAAGATGCCAGACAGATTTTAACATAGTAATAATCAGAAATACCCTCAATAATTATGACAATAATAAAAAGGTATAATATGATACATATATATGGAAGAGCAGTTTGTAATATGAATACATTTTTCTCTAGACGAGATCACAGTTTTGTAAATATTACATTTAAGTATATATATACACACATATATGTACAGCTATATATACATGTGCATATATATGTAATTTTTATTTATATATAATATCATTATATAGATAGGTATCTGCAGACAAGTTATTGATTATAGAGACCCAAGAAAGCAACTCAATAATTGTTCATAGTTCTCCTCACTGACTGCTGGTATGAAGTTTCAGAAGTCCAACTTGCACTCAGAATGTTATCACTTATACTAATGAAACATGTAATATGGAAACTGAGTATGATAAGTGAGCTGTCTGCTGGAGAGGAGATGTCAGACCCTCTTACTCTGTATGTAGGTAATGCCCCCCAGATCTTAACTAGATGACAGTAGCCTGACTTTTACACTGGAGGAAGTCTTTGGATATTGATCAAATCATTGATTTGGTGAAGGCCAGAATACAGAGGGGAAACTTGAAATTCTCTAAACAGTGAACTATTCCCCAGTACACTCACTTAAGATGGACTAGAATCCAGGCATTCCAGTCTTGTGCCTTGAATGTCAATCAAGCACTCCCTATCTCTGAAAAGGGCAATGGGCCTGTACATGCTTGAAAAATAACCTGTGAACTTGGCATCAGATGGTGTCTGTAGCAGATTGCACAGTCTGTTAAAAAACCTCAGAGCCCCGTAATCCTCTGTCCTCCCACTGTGAGGTAGGTAAGTAGCAGTATCCCCATTTTTCAGCTAGAGAAACTGAGGCAAACGTGGAGGTGATTTGATGACTTGTTCAAGGTCACTGACTGTACTGATGCCTGGAGTCATGCATTCTGGAGCTTTCTGCCAGACACATAAACTTCTATCTTGATTATTATTACATTGCTCTTACAAAGGAAATGAGAGCTAGGAATTTGGCAAAACTTGAATAAATTACAAAAAAGGATTTTACAAAACTCATTTTCTATTTAGTTATTTACTTGACTAGTTTTCTTTCTCCAAATGCATTGGGTATCACCTGTCTCAGTTCTTAGGAACTGAGCTGTGCATGGTGGTTCTGAGTGTAGTCTTCAGGGAGCTCAGGGCCATACTGGCAAATACAAATATCTTGTAGAGTAAAAAGGACAAAGACACAGTTTATCCCCTTAACATTTGGTTAAAAAACCAGTATCAAATCCTCCTCAGTCCCTTCTACTATGGACAGTCACACACACACACACACACACACACACACACACACACACACACACACACACACACAAAAGAACAAAATTCCCCACTAAAAACAACTCAAGGGAAAAAACACCTTATTTCCTGGACCTACCACAATGTACAGAAAATATCAGATAGCGCCATAAAAACCCCACTCATCTTCTAGAGAAATCTCTATGTCATCGCTACATACTCAATCTGTAGAATAAAAAGTCTCCTTGAAGAAGCATAAACATAGGGTTCATAATCTTAGGTTTTAATCATGCATTTTAGTCCCTTGTATTCATATTGTCTTCTACTAATTTTTATCTTTACAGCTTTGTCACCATCAATTTCTATTTATTTTCTCACTTGAAGTAGTTCCAGAAAAAAATCACACACACACACACACGCATACACACGCACACATGCACACGCACATACACACTCTGAAACTGTTCACATGACTATGGTTTCCTTCCTTTCCTGTTCCTCTCTTTCCTTTCTTTCATTTCTTTTTCTATTTATTTCTTTAAAAAAATCACACAGGTAAAACCTTTAACAAATTGACAGTTACAGCCGAGTGAAATCAAACCTGGAAGGGAGGTAGCCGAAATCTGTCCTAAAAAATTATTTTCAACAAATAGCATATAAGCATTGGCCAAAGTGGGAACGAGACAGAGAATGGTCTCGGCAGTGACCCAGTGTGTTGAGGCCAAGAGCAGCAGCTGATTCCCTCCTTTCCCAAAAGCCTGCTATTTAAGACCATTAATCTCGCCTTTCCTTTCCACCCCACTTCACCTACCCACACTGACTTCCCAGGGACTGTCCGACTTCCCACCCCAACTTCCCTTACGAGGTTGTTGGCACAAAAAGTAGGGGCAATGCAAGTCCTCCGGGCAGACAGTGAGTTATCTTGGAGCAGTTTCCCAGATGGGGCCTAGAGAGCTGTCCACCTCATCTTTGCCTCCTTGCTAACAGACTGATGCTTCTTCAGCTGCAGAACTCCCAAGTGCTTTAGGGTCCCTAGGCTGTGGATGTCCAACAGCACTTGGAACCGCCTCCTCCTGATTACTCCATTGTCTGAAACAGATGACTGAGGGGATGTGACAAGGAGTTTATTCTCAGGAAGAAAATGAAACTGGGAATCAGTGCATTGAGAAAATACAGCTGACTATCCTGCACCAAAGTCTGAGAAGATCCTATGAATTACACATCCCTTGTAGGCATGAGGCAGGCTATCAATTGTGTAGCCTTTTTTTTTCTGATAGGCTCAGCAAATATGAATTTGTTCATGGCAGTTTTGATTGGCAGCAAGGAGGAAATTGTATGGGATTCTGCCTGGAAAGGCCCACCTCAGTCTGTGAATCTTAAACTAGGAGCCAGCCTCCAGAAACTTTTGCTCAGCTAGAGAGTACACAGCAGTTGACAGGGAGAGAGAAGGCAGTTGGATGGAGTAAGGGAAATTCTTACTGTCTTTCTTCAGTTTCTATGACCCTACTATTAATAATGTCCTCTTTGGGACTCTGGGGAGTCTCTGTACTACTTATGGGCATATTGAGTTGTTTGGAGGGCTGTTCCTGTCACCTCTATTTAGCTTCTTTTTTCTAGCTGACTAAAGGGTTGCAAGAGGTTTGAGGACCCTGGAGAGTTAAACATAATCAGGCCAACTCCCAAATAATTATTCTTAAATTTTGTTAAAGTTTGGTCTAGTAATTACATGAGGAAGTGCCCTATATATGAATGTGATATGCTTTTGGAGGAGCTAAAGTACTTAGCCATCACATAAGTGGCCACTTCTCCATTCTAGATGCCAACTTTAGAGGCAAGCTACATAATCACAGTACTGTATCCTTATTTGTGGTCATCTGTGAGAAAAGCACCTTGGTACATTTCTGGATATTACAGACCACTGATGGTCAATAGACACCTTTTCAAGTGCTCTTGATCAGTAGGAAAAAGCTATTGGTCATAATATGAAAGCACATTTTGTGAAGTTACTTTTGGTCCTAGTAGAAAAGGGAGTTTGATAGATTAGTAATTAATGCCTTAGATGCAGGATGGTTGTGCATGAGCTGGCATTTTGCATTCTGTCCAAGACTTTGCTTTTAGTAGTTATTCCCACTAGACTTGTGGTCAATGGATGCACTGTCATCTTTAAGCTATACAATTCATTTAAATGCTCCCATCTCTTTGCTTCCCGGCCCCATATTTTACAGATTACGCCGAAGTTATCTACTCTATACACCTCATCCTGTGTTAATATCTTCCCATATCAATTCAGAGGGTATGTATAGGTAACTGAAAAGAGGTGTGTGTGTGTGTGTGTGAGAGAGAGAGAGAGAGAGAGAGAGAGAGAGAGAGAGAGAGAGAGAGAGAGAGAGAGAGAGAGAAGCCCTGAATATATTGCTGGCTTCCATGTACAGTTGACTCATTTCCTCTTAATATTTAAAGACTAAATATGAGAGGGGAAGGAGTGGTGCCCAACAATGAATGTGGAAAGATGTCTTAACATCTGGAAAATTATATGGAAAATCTGATGACTCTATTAGGTGCTGAGTCTGGATCTCCAGGGCTTCCCAGTGTTCCTCTGTTTCCCTAGAATACCACATACATTGCCCATATCCATGATGTTTTAGAACTGAATCTGCTTAGAGAAATAGTAGGAGTCTCAAGACCAAAGCTTGCTCTAGCCTAGAGAGCTGGGAAAATTGAGATAAGGACAATAACGCATTCCATTCCAACAGTCTCTGGGTGGTTCCAGCATTTCCCAAGTTTAACACTGTTCCGCTCGATTAGAAAATCTAACACTGGCTTAAACATTCTGAACTCTCAGGAAGGGCTCGAGCATCTGACATCCCTCAACTCTTTTCCAGAGTGAGAAGTCTACTCCTGAAGGACTTAAGCCCATTAAGGTTTTTCTCTTGAAGACGGGCTAAGAAGTGGGGAACTCTGGAATAATATGAATCACTTTTAAGGCAGTCTACTTGATTATATGGAGTTTGTTCTAACCTAGTACTACCATCGAAGAGCACTCAATGTATCAGACAGAGCAGCAGTAAGAGTAGCAGCAAATGTGGTCCCAAGGTAAGATCTGGAGAACGGGTGGGATCCGGAAGGGATATGAAGACCTCAAGCCTGAAGCCAGGAGCTGATAGGATACCTTGACTCTGCAGTCCTAAAGCATTTCCAGCTAATCCTTGCACCCTTGTATGGGGGCAAAATCCCCATAGCAATGGAAAATGTGGGGATCTTTGCACACCTTGGAATATTTCCCTATTCTTGGGTCCTAGATCCCTAGAAGATTGACAGTACAAACCATTTCACTTCTGGTCCCAAAACACTACATAATGATGCATGCACTACATTTTATGTGCCTCACATTCTGAGCTATATTTGTTTCTCAGTACTTGGTTTTAGTTTCTATAGCTTGGGAAAGTACAGATTGAGGTGTTTTGTTTTGTTTTTTTGCTTTGTTTTGTTTTTTTTCAGTTGTTTTCTGCTTACTTTCTAAAACTGCCCTCACACAGATGTGTGTATGGGTGTGTATGCATGCATGTGTATTGACCACAGATATGAGCACTCCTTGATACAAAACATGATTTTGTTGTTATTGTTTTGTGCTGTGGCCATGTGACAAATGGTTAGAATTTTCAGAGGCTCTGGGACTACATGCTGTGTATGCAATCCATCTTGGACTGCAGGATAAAATTCCATTCTGTCATTCAACATGGTGAGATTCAGTTCATTGCCCCACAGTTGGTCCTTCCTGGGTGAAATTAAAGGCAGACCGGTTGGGTGCTAAGGATCCCTGGTGTGGAGAGGCCATTTCATTGAGCAGCAGACTGTGAAATCAATACCAGAGGGATGCGGGTCCTGGCGTTGGGAAATCTTGGACAGCTCCATCTTTCCTTAGCCATGGCTGTACCCCCGAAGGTCTTTCCGGCTGTGCTCTTGAGCATTAGGATCCCGACAGGCGCAGTCGTCTTGTAGGTCACAGGACATAGGAAAGGGAGTGACCTGCAGAGGGAGAAACTTGAATGGATGAGTTTGGTCTGGTATTCAGTGTGGTGATAAAGAGCAAGGGGACAGTCACTAGATTTGAAAAACAGATGATTCAAGGTCACATCATGGTTCTGCTTTTTGAAAGTACTACATTAACATTAACCAGGATCAATATTATATGTTGCATTTGGAGAGGTACTTGCTGCAGGTAAGGCAATACACTTTTCAGATGAGAAAATTCTGATTCCCTTTTACAACTCTATACCAACAGCCCTTTTATCAATGATAAAATTAAAACCAAGAAAGGAAGATTCTGCTGAAAGTAAGTGATCCATCAGATACTTAAAGTAAAACAAGCTAGTTCTCTTTGTGCCTTGGAAACAACTGAGTTAGCTACATGGGCTGAGCAACATGGGTAAAAATATCATTACGATTACAGTTTAGTAATGTAATTCTGCAATGCAATATCTAAAATATGTGAACATATCTTTTAAAGAAACCTAGTTCTTTGAATATACTGATATTTATGGTTTTGGGAGGCGAAAGTTAAACAAAAAGAATGCATAAAACAAGCTTGCATGACCTCTGTGGGGCCCGAGTTCCCAAGTAAGGAGCATTTTATACAAAAGTTTTGAATTAAATTTGTTGGGAAGAACCTTTCTTGCAAAGAGACTTTAGCATAAGAAAAAGTGGGAGGCCAAAGTCCCACTCCCAGTACATCCTGTCATGTGTTCTGTGATCTTGGGCTGGCTGACCTTTCTAGAAAGTGGTGGGAAAAGCCCAACAGAGCAAGTGTCTTCCCCATCCGGCACACGATCCATCTTTCCCAAGATTGCAGTGAAATCCCTGCTGGAGTCCCAGCCTGAACTAACGCAAGTTGATTTCACCGTATTGCATCATGACATTTGCTTAGAACTTTCCCCAGAGGGTCCCCCATCTGCGCAGATGGGTTTAATGACCTCATTCGCCTCCTGCCTAGGCAGGGTCTCCAATTGCTCACATTGTCTCTGAGAGCATCGTTCTCTTCCTTGTTCTTATGTATTTTAAGCTAATTCTCTCTCTTTCTCTCTCTCTCCCTCTCCCTCTCCCCCTCTCTCCCTCTCCCCCTCTCACCTCTCTCCTTTCTCTTTTCTTCACCTCCATACTATTAACCTCTCTCAATCCTGAAATATTTGCAATAATTTAAGTTGAAGTATTGAACCTTGGCCCCCCTCTCTTGCCTGTCTCAGACATGACCTTGAACATGTGGCAAGACCTGTAGTCTTCTCAAACTCATTCATTAAGTAGGAACAATAGAAGTACATCCTTATGTTTCCTGACACTGTGATGAAGGACAAATGGAATTGCTCATGAAAAATACCCAGGACAGTGCTTGATCAACCACGTGATCAATTATATAGGCATTTACTCATGTACATTGATTGCACACACAATAATACATCTCCCTCCCATCAATTCCTTGATACTGAGATAACGATAGGGTCACAGTCTTGTTCCTTATTGTTTTCTTAGTGTCTAAGCAACAGAAATAATGAGTTGCTCCTTATGCCCCCTGCCATGCCCCACACCCATGCCTAAGACATCGCTTTGTTGCACCTTTCAATTACCAGGTGCCTTACTTGGCGCTGGGCCAGTCAGCATCAATCCTCTTCCAGTGAGCCCCTGCTTTTCACATTACACTTGCTCTCCTTTCTTCAGGACATTTATGTTCTAGCCTCTAAGGCAGTAGTTCTCAACTGGGGGAGGGGGGACGGGGGGTCACAACCCCTTTGGAGGTTGACTCAGCCTTTACAGAGGTTTCATATCAGATACCCTGCATATCAGATATTTATATTACGATTCAGAACAGGAGCAAAATTGCAGTTATGAAGTAGCAAGGAAAATAATTTCATGGTTGGGGGTCACCACAACATGAGGAACTGTATTAAAGGATCACGGTGCTAAGAAGGGTGAGAACCATTCTTCTAAGGACTTGTTTGTGGCAAAAAACAAAAACAAAAACAAAAAACAGAACCAAAAAAAAAAGCATTTTAAAACCTTCTGTCTAGAATCTACAATATTCTTCCTTAGACTTTTTTCCCATAGCCTCTTCATCTTCAGGAGGAACACAGATATTCCAACTAGAAAAGACACAGAGAGAAACTGCCTGTTCCAGTTGGAGAGACTGAGCATAGACCAAAGAGAAACTCCAATAGCTGACTAAACGTGGAGAGTTCCATGCTGGCAGCCCAAAGACCTGGACTGCACCTCCTTGTTTCATGCTCACTGAGGAGTTTGAAGAAATTCCTTCTCTGCGATGGGATGGCCTATAGTTTCAACATGTACAAAACAGAGATTCAAAGAGCAACAATACTACATATGGCTGTGAAGATCAAACAAGAGGAAACACACAGAGTCCCTAAAACATGGCCCAACCTGTAGGGTTTGCTCAATGACAATCAAACAGGCCACGTCAGGCTTTCCTCTTAACACATTCAGCATCTTCTCAGCCTCTTGTCACCTTCCTCCCACCTGCAGACTCTATCCTTCACTCATTCATCCCTCACCTTGTCCCTTCTCCCAGCCTTGCTCATCATCTGTGCTTAAAACATTCCAGCTGCCCTTAGTGTCTTCTTTAGACTTTCTCTGCAGCTCTTTCCCACTGAGATCTATGTTTCACTGGGGCAGCTTCACGCCAGTGTCCTGCGCAGACAAGTACGTAACAAGTTCTGTGTCTTAGAAGAAAATTCCAGCTCTCCACCATGGGTTTAAGACCTGACACCTCTGGGCACTGCATGATCCCCAGGCTTCCCTTGCCTCTTTCCTCCTTCATCCTCGGTGCTGAACTCACTCAGAGGCTGGCTTTTCAAATACTACTGATGTGTTCCCACTTTAACCCTTTATTCATCAGGTCCCTCTGTGCTCACTGGTCTTCCGCATGTCTCATCTCAAGACCACACCACCTTTCTCTCTGGTCTTAAGATGTCACAGAGTATTATTTTCACACGCTTCCTGCACAGAAATGCTTTTCCCTCATGCGTCTGCTCAGCCTGGGAAGGAGAAGGGTTACTGTTGAACTGACTCTTTGGGGAATGATATCCCAGAGCGACTCATCTTGGATGAGCACATGAGTGTACCGCAGAGACGCAGTACAAGCCATGGAGACCCAGACTCGGGACCACTGTCTTATAATTTTCCATGAACCACTTCTGTTCTTTGGACTTCAGTTTCCCAATCTACATAGTAAGCATCAATCTAAAGACTGATCTAACATCCAGTATGACGGAAAATATTTATCAGTGTGGGAAAATGGGAAAGGAGAACCCTGTCCAAACAAAAGTTAGATACTATGGGGTGTGTGTGTGTGTTGTCTTAAGTCTGGGGCCTTATGCATTCTAGGCAAGTTTGGAAGTTAGTTGTAGGCTTCATGTGAGAGACAGGGCCCTTCATAAAGTCTGTACAATGTTCTGGTAGAGTAAAAAAAAAAAGCTCCTCTACAAACCAGCTCTGAGATCTTTGCCTCTTATGATGAACTGATCCCTGAGCTTAATGGCAACCTCCATTGTCTCATTCAATGCTTCCCAGCAACCCTAATAAGGTAGCTATTCTTACTATCCCTGACTTATACCTTAGAGGAAACTAAGATGCAAAGAAGTGAGTCACTAGCTGGCATGTGGCCAGGGATATGCATCTGTGTTTATCATTTCTCAGTGCCACCCCTAGGCACCCCCAAAAGCAAGAAGAGTAGGAGTCAGATTCATCTCAATGCAGAAGAAAAAATATCTAGGCATAGGGATAAGAATCACAGTATGATACAGTAAAGCCATGAGCCTGATTACCAGTCTCTGAATCCTTATCCAGCTTCTCTTCCAGGTGGCCTCCCACAGAAATCTGCCACACACCATGGTGACCAGATCATATTCCAAGATTCCCAGTAACCACATAACTATGTTGTCTCATGCCAAGCCCTGCTAATAAGACTGCATCAATGACTCAAAGTAGGATTCTCTCCCTTTTCCTCCTGGCTAGAGGATGGTGCTCAGGCCTGGGTTTTCTCCATCTGGGTGAACTGTCCATGCTAACCCATTCATGTATGGGTGTGAATGACTCAGGAATGCAGCCTGGGCAAGAGTACCACAATGATCTGACTGTAGCTCTTGTCTAGGGCTGGAAAACAGACAAGGACGGGATTCTGACTCATACTCAATGGGTTGGTAATAGACTATGTTCTCTCTCTCTCTCTCTCTCTCTCTCTGTGTGTGTGTGTGTGTGTGTGTGTGTGTGTGTGTGTGTGTGTGTGTGTTGAGAAAACAAGAGGTAAGCTGTGTTGACAATCTGAAAGCTTTGGTTCCGTCACCCCTATGCTATGGGGAGTCACTGCATCTCCCCAAATCTCAGGGACTGTACAGTGTACATAAAAGTAGTTAACAAGGCAAGCAGAAGAAGACAAGACTCATATAAAAATAATGTTTCTTGGGAGAGGGGTAGATAGTGCAATGATCAATGGATAGAGGAGAATGTTCAAGTGGAAATAAAGTATTTGTGTTGATGAATGATGTACATAGGTTCAGTAAGGAAATCTGCTCATAGAGATAGAAAGGGAACTTGGGTTTGAGTTCTTGCCCTGTTATTGACTAATGTATACTCTCAAGCAAATCACTTCCTTTTCTGGCCTTCAATTTATTTTTCAGTAAAATGGACATATAATAAGAATCATATCAGGAGAGTTCTTTATACAAAGTACGAAATGCAGGAAAAAACATTTAGCACAGCACATGCCACAAATATGTGTTCATTAAATGATGGTGATAATGGTCATGATGGTGCTGGTCATGATGATGTGATGGTGGTCATGACAATACCAACATTGATAGTAACATGGTGAAGATGGTGGAGACGATGGTATTCATAATAGTACCAATGAAGATAACTCCTTGAGACAGAAGGATTGAATTCCCCCATAGGAAATAACTGAAAAGTCTTTTCCATGTCTGATCCACATAAAAATCAGGGCCAGCCTTGAACAGGAGGGGGCC